GCAACTGTGGAATATGTCGTCAGGAGGAATGCTCCATACGTTTCTTTCGTCAAAAATTCCTTTTGACTTCGACAGCTTTTTTCCAGTTCATCCAATAACACGGGCAGCGTGACCTCGAGCCACTCCAGTCTTGCATACTCAGCATCGTCAAATTGCCGAGTATCAGGCCATTTCTTGTGAATGTGCTGGGTAGTATTACTTTTATCATGCAGCACGAACCAACGATGGATGTTTTGCATGAAAACGATGGTCTGGGCTGCAGCTGCGAATGATACACTCTATGTATGCCCAGCTTGGTCTCTGAGATGCTCCAGGGCTGCAGTAACATCAGGCGAGAAGACCTGAATTGCCCTCGTGACATTCGTTTTTTCTATGTTATTCGGACAGACATGTTTTCGGCTGAGGTAGTGGACAGGCTTTACAACCAGGTCCTTCTGTAGGTCGTAGAGATTCTTGATGTAGCAGGACGAGACCTCTCCTTTCGGACCAATGTCGTGGGCTAGAAACTGCGAGCGCACGTTTTTTTTAAACGTGGCAAGGATCAAAACTTAAAGAGAGAAGCCTGTCACAGTCACAGGGATGTTCTATCCGGTACGTAAGAGGACCATCGACCAAAAGTGTCATGGCATTGACGTTCACTCTGTGGTTATTACTCACTAAGCGAACTACCCTGAAACCACAGGCTTCTACTTATTCAAGCACAAAAATCAACAACTTGTGAAGCTGTGGGCCTGTCAACCCCATGCTAAAATAGTAGGCCACTGGAATGCGATACAACGTCGAGAGTCCTGTAATTAGGAAGCAGAGAAGAAAGTTTGCTAAGGTAAGGTCCCCACCATGTTGTTCCAAAAAGACATTTGCGTGCCCCACAAAGCAGTCCTGCTGTTTGTTGTACTGGAGCTTTTCCCCGATCTTCATTTCGTCGACTATGAGTGACCACAACCTTGACTGTGGTACAGTCAAGCTCTCTGCTTCTACTCTAAGGCGAGGTTCGGCGAGTTTGCTGCGGCCTGTTTCTCCACTGTTGGTTCCCAAATAGTTGCTCAAAGTAATTCTGCAAGGAAGCTTCAAAAGCATTTCACCGCGGATGTGTTCGTACGCCCTTGTCGATAAATGCCTTAAAACTACACAACGTCGGGTTGTCTCCTCAGACCAGCTAGGCCTCTTCTTCTTGAAGTTTTCAATCTGATCAATCAAGAATAAAGCTGCGGGTTCCTTTTCTTTCGCCCCTTCCTTGATGTAAGAAACATCCGCAACCAGGGCGTCCTCGTGCAGCCTTTTCAATTCCATTTTGTACTTGTCGATGGTCTGTTGCAGCCGAAGCAGCTGGCTCCTCAACTCCTTTTCTTTTCTTCTCCACTTCGCTTTCTCTGCGACAAGCACACTTAATTGAAGTTGACATGCTGGCTACCTGGACGCCTTGATCACGCAAGTTGGCCTCCGACGATGTGTCCATCGCGCAACAATCCGACATATCCTCCACTGCTGAAGCAACGTTGCCGCTCGCGGAGTCGCTGCGCGCCATGTAGCACTCACTCGTTTGTCGATGCTTGCTGTATATCGCGCCGGAGTTGATTTCGGCTGGAGATGGGGCGGGTATTCTTCAAAAACTGACGGCACAGCCCCATTCTTTAGGCGTCACCGCTTGCCTTCGATGAAGTGCTCTTCTTTGAAGTGGCGACTGCATACTTTGGTGTAGCATGAGGTGGTGTTCGGCCACCACTTGTCTCGTCATATTGCGGCAAGCCAGCGCACTCGAGCGTCTGCGTCAGCGGGTAGTTCATGAAAGGAAAGCCCTGCCAGTTTCTTTTTCTCGTCCGATTTGCACAGCGGAACACAGCAGTAGGCCATCCTAAAGCATTCTACGCACGTACTGGCCGAAAACTTTCCCACAAAATGAAGTTGCGCACCACTGAATGGGCTGCACGCGCAACACCTGGACTGAATGGCAGCAGCGGCACCCTGTTTACCCAGCGCCTCTAGTGGCAGCGGAGAAAAGTGGCGTTTGACGGCCCCCTGACGGCGGTGTGCCCGGCACAGATTTTTATACGGGAGGCACTGAACACGCCAACCGTCGCCGGCGAAATACGGGGAAAGACTGAGCCAGCAGAGGAGGAGAAGGGAGGAGGAGGGCTGGGGATCTCGCTTGCTGGATTTCGGGCCGACCGGTCGTGCGCTCGCGCGCTTGCGATCTCCCGCGTCATCGTGGCTCTGACCGACTGGACTCGCCCTACGTCATCTCCTGCCGCCGACGACAGTGCAGCTCTGACTTACTGGACTTGTTCTACGCCATCCACCGACGCCGAAAGGAGCTCTCGCAGGTGCGCCCCGTCCTCGGACTCCAGTGACCGTGCTCCATCTTTCCTATCTCTTCTATCCCCTCGATTTGTCCTCGCTCGCTGTGGCTTACCACACGTCTCTTCTTCTCTTCTCCTTCTTCGGCTTTCCCACATCTTTACTCCTATCCTTTTTATCCCTCCTCACCCCCATCCCTCGTGAGCTACTGTGGCGGTGTCGCTCATTGAAGCAGACAATAACGGGGCTCGCTTTTCTCTTCTTTTCTCTCTTTTAATAGCCACTCCGAGGAGGGCTGGGTACCTTGGCAATGCTTTTCGCGCTGCCTGCAATTCGCGGGCAGTACATCTTTTTCGCGCGGCACATATTCTTTCTGTGGTTGCTCCTCAACGGTCTATCCATGCATCGCGCGCACCTATTGGGCTCCGTTACTCCTTTTTCGGGTAATTTTGCCTTAGAGTGCAGCTGAGACTGTCCATATAATTGCTATCGCAATAAAACTGTTGAAGACAACTAAACTGCCCAGCACCCTAGCGGCGCGAAACAAGAGCTCAAGATATGTAAGTAGACATTCAATCTGTACAAAAGCAGATATGTTTAGGTAAATAAAAAGGGAAGCATACTCGTGCGAACAAGATTCTCCAGAGAATAAACATGGGCGGGAGCTATTATGTCCATAATTCCCAAAATATGTCTAGCAATATATTGTTATACATAAGATGAGAAAGTATACGATGATTTCATTTTATAACTACTAAACTATTAGAGAGCGACTTAAAAGAGAACAAAAAATGCCAGGCCGGCGTGCAACACGAAGCACAGTAACAGCGAAAACTGGAAGATTGTAGACTTTATATATCCTTTTAAAAACAGTATTTGGGTAACTACTACAAGAGCACTTGCAAGGTACCGACTACGGCACAAATCATCATACTTTTTGTGTAGTCGGGAAGACTCCACTGTGCCATTATTCGTCATTTTTGGGAAGAAGCATCATACCCACTACAAACTTGTAAGACATTACGTGCACATTGCTGATGTTGCAGGGTGACGATAATTAATAATTATGATTGAGGCTTTTGCAATGTGTTAGAGCAGTCCACGGGCCACTGCTTGCGCACTTCGCATTCCATGATGTTTCGCTGTTTCTTTGCTGTTCTAAAGCTCATGATAGACATCTTAACGCAATTTTTTACTGAACATAAAACTTGTGTAGGGTCAGTATAAAACAGAGTTTCAAACCAGCGTAGCTCAATGTAAATTAAAGGCAAAAAAGAAACCCGGCGTAGCTCAAAGGTAGATAACTTGGCTTTCATGCAGAGGGCTCAAGTTCATATCCCACTTGATTTTAGGGGTCTTTTTTATTATTTAGCTTCTTTTATTATTTCTCACGGTAGGGGTTACAGAAACCGGTGGCGGTGGCGGTGAACAATTATGGCGCCAAAAACTACCCTTGTTGTGGTGTCTTAACAGCTCTCGTTGAAACAATAACCGATGTGAAATTAAGCACCACGCATCATTTGACGAAACGGCCAATGAAAGGCATAATGGAAGGTAGGAACACAGGAGAGCCTACCAGACAAGAAAGGGGGAGTAGCCATTATCGCTTTTAGGAGCTTGCTTTTTATGCTTGAGCTTTGTCCGTCCATACCGCCATCGTAGCCATACTAGTTCTCACCGATCCCGCTAGAGTTCCGGCTGTGCTCTCGTTTGCTTTGAATGCCGTGCCCTAGAAAGTGCGCCACCACTTACACGATGCTCACTCGACTCTTGGCGCGTGCTCTACGTTGATAGGAAGAACCATGCCTATATATAACGCTCACTCGTGCGTTTCCTCTCTTCTTAGCTGGGCATCACTCAGTGCGCTTCGATACTGCTTTCCACCATGAACATCACATTCACCGGACGGCTTCCAGCTCTGCCATAGTAGAGTACTATGTACTCTTAATCGTCAACTACTTTTTCTAAGCACACATCGAAGATGCCTTGGCGGTGGAGCGATGGGCTCGCAAGGCGGCCACAGCGCTGGCTCCTCCGGGCCTGGGCTTTTTCGAGGGTGGGGGTCAGCAGCAGCCGCCCCTCGTTACCTAAGAAGTTTAGGCGGGAAATTTGGTCATAAATTGACCTAAAAAAGGTGGGAGGCAGGCGCTGCAACGAACCTTCACTGTAATAATAATAATAATAATAACAATATTAATATTGAAGTTTAACGTCCTAAAACTTTCGCTGCCGTATGATCGAGTGGATGTACGTAGCACTTACGGTTTACCAGATTTTACCTCCGAAGCAAGCTCCTTCTTCGTCAGTCACTTCGCGGATATGAAGTGATTTATTTTGTTTTGTAACTAGAAAGAAAATATTCTTGGAGAGCACACATAATTCGTAGAAAAGATTGCGGGTGACCACCTAGAGAGACTGCCTATGTACGAAGAGGTTGAAATCCAAACAATGATGGCAGAAAGGTGACTAGGCTAGAGAAATCCAATAATAAAGTTTCAGGTGTAGCGCACAAGTTCACAGGCATATAATGCGATATGCCCGTCACGCGTAGGCTAAACTGGATACCACTGCAAGAGGCCATTATCCCACTGGGGACATAAAATACGGTGATGGTTAGCATACTTCTTTATATGTTTCTCACAAGCACTCTTGGTCTTATTATGTTCTGCAGTTGTGTTCAGTATGTTCATAATTATCTTCATCAGCCGAGGCATCGGCCGCACTGGAACGCTGATCTTGGTAGACAGCATGACATCGCAAGCCGAAGCAGAGGGTGAAGTTGACCTCATCACTCACCTGCACAAGTTGCAGCAGAGCAGGGTCAACCTTCTCGAGTCACAGGTGAAAAAATCAATTTCTTTGCCGTTTGCTATTGCTGTGATTTGCTGTTGCCTTTATAGGAGCAGTACATATTCGTGTACAAGGCACTGGTCGAGATACTGCGTTCGAAAAGCCATACGCTCACAGTGAAGGATTTCAGGAATCTGCATGAGAAGCTCAAGAGGAAGATCACAGCAACTGGAAAGAGTGCTATTGAACTTGAGTACGAGGTAGGCTACCACTGCCAGGCCCTTTTTTATATCCGCAAGCATCACTAGCTTACTCTGCATGCAAGTCATTTCGTAACGCAAGGCTCTGCAATTTCTAAAGCAATCCACAGGACTCTATAGAACATGCTTGTGAAGCCCATAGTTGTATGTACAGCACAATGACTTAAACCCAGGCAGTTACCAGGAGGGGGGGGGGTTGAACCCTTTCTCTTACAAGGGCGTATGATACAGAACCTTCAAACTTTCAAGCATATTCCATCTCTTTGTCATGCAAGTCTGTATGACATCAATGAATCAATGCCCAAAGAACACAGAAACTCTGGAACACTGGTCGTTACATGTGCGTAGCTATCGATTGCTCGACCTCACAAGATTGTGTAAATAACAAATCGGGTGTAAAATATTTCCACAAGCTTAGCATTTTGAACTCTCTGCCTTCAAAGCTTGCAGAAGCTTGAACCACAAACTTTCCTAGTGGGTTTGGCGTTTGTCCGTTTCTGTATGACATGAAAGGGCAACAGCTGCTTGATAAGTCGAACGAAGCAATATATGACTTGGATGGCATAGTACTCTCAATAGAGTGAACAACTCTCCAGAAGAGTTAATGTCTCACATAAGTTTACAATTATCATGCGTATAATTTCTGAGGAAGGGGACAGAGAGAGAGAATAACCTTTACCCTGGTTGCCAGCAGGTTGATTTTGGGCGGAGGTGCGAGCCACTGGCGGCCAGAAGCTCTTGCTCTCTGGCGGCATCTTCAGGCTTCTGTATTGTATTAGTTGATCCTCAGGGGCTGTGCTGACCAGTAAATTGTCCCATTGCCTCCTATTCAAATTTTTTTCTGTTCTGACAGGGTCCCGTGGGCATGCCCAAATATTATAAGTCCGCCCTTCCTTGACATAATTTACGTTGGCTGCGTGATATGTATTACAGCAGTTATCAGAAATTTTCTTTTTTTCTCTGCTGCAAACAAACTTCGTTGGCGGTCAGGCCTATTCTCATACCTCTAGTTAGCTCTTTCACGTTAGTTTCAAATCGTAATAGCGACAGTTTATACTAAATCTTTCAGCGTCTAGCATAATTCCTAATAGTAATATGGCCGGAAGTCTGCGTCAAAAATATTTGCCCTTTGTGCGAAGAACCTAACAGGGACTTCTAGTACTAAAAAAATTCTGAATTTTTGTTCTTGCTGTTAGTCAATTCTGTTACTAAAGAAGTATTGTAAATTTTATTTTATCGTGACATCTCAGTCGAATAAAATACAGTACTATATACTCTATTTTACCTTGTTTTCTCTGTGTTTTTTTTTTCAGGAACTTAACCTTGCATTCCCACCTCCTGCTCCAGAGCAGTGTAATACTGCACGGGACAGGGAAAATGCTGCCGAAGATTCACCACCTACAATTTTACCATGTAAGACAAACTATAACGTTGCTGTATGTTCGGTGACGCAAACTTATATTTCTGGTGCCTCTATTGCGTTTCCACACTCAGTTGACTACAGGAGGCCACCCCTGAGTGTTACAGACAATGGATTGAAGACAAAGTGCTCCAACGCAATCTATGTGAATGTAAGCTACCTCCTACATATATGCATGCCCTTGTACGTGGAAACTTGTAGTTATTAAAGAGAGGCAGTAATTCAAGTTTCACAGAAAAACACTGTGTAGCACCTTTAGTTACATAATGCTTGTTCCCTCTCAACATAACGACGCATGAGGACAAATGTCCGTGTCATACATACCTACTATAGCAAAACACAGATTGGCAGAACCAGAATTGGGCGTTCCTCATTATTTCCATCAGCAGGAGCATGAAGTTAGCGATCTTCCATTACCATATTCCATTACATGCTGGGACTCATTGTCTTCCGGAAGTGGCGTCACGAAGGAACCGCACCAGAATATGCCGACACCATTTGGAGTCCCCATCCGAAATTGCTCATCACCAAAATTAGCGAGTCTAAAATTTAGCAGTCTAACCAGTGTTTTCAACTTATTTGAGGTATACCAGTATTACTGCTGTGAATAAAATACTTTCCAAAATCAACTTCTTCTACCCTTTGTATCGTGAACATTTTAATATAGCCAGAACACAACATCTTGAAACCCTCAAGGAATCATCAAGAACTAACTGTACCAACACATTCAGGCTACCTAAAAGCACAACAACATTCACAAAAGCTCTTTCTTTTTTCATCGTGAACAGCACAATAGACTACTCTATCACCAACTGCTGTGAACTGTGAGTTGGTAGAATCTCTTGCGGAATTACTCAAGGATATGTTTTTATATAGTATCGAGATGCGTATAAATTCTAAGAGTCATCAGTAGAAATACATGAATAATTATAATTGTTATTTCTTCGTACGTTATTGTACTAGGTCTGTGTATTCTAGCATGTAATCTAAATTAACACTGCATAATAAAAACCGTTGTTAACACTTCATCTAGCACTGAATTGTTTCTTTGGATTTGGTCCATCACTTGTGACACCGTTGTAACCTTTCTTTGTACCACCCCTGCTTGTTTATTAAAAGCCACGCAGATCATTCTATTACACGACAGCCTTTCAGTTGCTTTGTAAATTGCATGTTTTTCTCTGCACATATCGTTTTCAGAAAAGAATGTCGTAGTACATGAATTCACCTGCTTATTGTACATTACCATGACTTTATTTTTCATTCTTTGCGTATAGTGATTCGACGTTCTAGAACGTTTTGTGATAGTAATGTGCTGCTCTCTACATGTGTACTTTGGATACTTTTCTTCCCATGTAATGTCTATTAGGACCGCTAGACTGTTAAAAATTATGTCACATGTAGATTTAACGATTTACATCAAAGTAATTATAAATCATTTCAGCTACTTTTAATTGATAAGGTAGTACTGACTTCGCCTTGCGTACATGTAAGCGGCAGCTATTATGGTGAAATATATATTTGTCAAAATAGAAGGCTACTTAGAAACGTATATTGGGCATTTATATTTTAGAATAATACATACCGTACGAGTTCAAGTGAACACTGTGAATGACTTTATCCATTAGTCTTATAGGAAAAGCGTTTCAAGGGCACCTTTGCGGAACACTTATGATAGGTTTATATCACTTCCACTCGTCAAATAGCTGAAGGCCTATTACTCCTTTATGCAGGGTTTCGAGAGGAGAAATGCGTACCTGGTCACACAACTCCCTCAGCCGGAGACAGTAGACGAACTTCTGGGAAATGCTGGCGACAAGTGGTTCTGTCACACTCATCACGCTCGGTCCGCTCCAAGATAAGGTAATGAGAAGAGCCGCAGTCACGGATGCCCGTGAGACAACCATATCATCATCTCATCTTTTCATTACCGAGGCGAAGACCTTTAACCTTTGAATGATTGATATGTGAGGTTCAGCGTTCCAAAACAACCACATGATTATAAGAGACGCCGTAGCGGAGGGCTCCTGAAATTTCAACCACCTGGGGTTCTTTAACGTGCACCCAAATCTGAGCACACGGGCCTACAGCATTTTCGCCTTCATCGCAATTGCAGCCGCTGCAGCCGGGATTCGATCCCGCAACCTGTAGGTCAGCAGCCGAGTACCTTAGCCACTAGACCACCACGGCGGGGCGATCTTGAATCTTTCGTTGAACGATCAGTCGGTGGCATTGACGTTAACACGAACCGTGAAAAAGTAATGTGTTCAAAGGTGATGTCCTCAGATTGCACAGATCTCAAGAAAACTGTGACTTCATCGTGACATTGCTATAGCTTACCACGATATAACGTCCCATGATATCGTAATCGCATGGCTTGTCAAGTGACCGAAGATGGGCCGATTTCATAGGCAAATGTGCAAATACTTCTTTACGTCCAATGTGCTGATAGCGTCTAGGTCGGGGATCAGATTGGTATAACTAACTTAAAAGAAACACAATTCAGAAATATCGGTTTGTCCTTCTTATTTATTTTTATTTTATCAGACCCGAGTACATTACAGAGAGGAATGGTTCAAGAACAATCCATCAATAACTGCAGCTTTAAAAACGACAAGTTCTTTGATTGTAGCAGCGAAGGCAGGAAGGTGGTTCTAATCACTGTTCAATTATGGCAAAAAAGAAGCATTACAAATGTTAGCGCCGCATAAGGGAGCCTAAACTTTGAGAGGATAGGTCGAACCATGGTGATGCATAGTTTGGGGGAAGAGAAGGATAATTTTTAGTTGTTGAATTCATGTAAAACGTATCATGAAATACGTTTAAGCTGAAGCTTTTAGGCTTTTAAGTGTTGGTAGACCTAAAGTAGCTTTCATTGAAGAAACACTGATGTACCGAGAGTAATTACAAAGCACAAAATGAGGTGCGTTTGTTCTGAATGGACTCAATGTCTGTCTACAGTTATTACAGATCTAGATTAACCTGAAATAAAACAATATTTCACTTTCGAACTGACAAGTGCTATGCACAATTTAGGTTTTAATTGTGAAGAAATGCATAAAAGATTACAGCACAGAAATCCAAGCATGAAATTAGCAATAATAATTACACGTTCCACATGAACATCGCAAGAGGAGTTGTGCCTAATATGCACTGCAGGAGTAACAGGGTTTAAAGTGGAGTTTTTCAGGTTATAGGAAAAGTTGTCATTTGCTTGGCGCCCATGTGTCGTTCAAAGATAAATCAAATCAAATCAAATCATTTTATTTTCCCAGAAAGAAACAGGTTCTGGAGAGGTTCACCGGCTAAAAGCTGTTTATGGACAGCTTGACGAGGCCAGTGAACCCTATACACGGCAGGTGGGACAACGACAAAGATGTGTGTGACAATAAAGACCATAAGCTAACATAACAATACCAAATACGGTGTAATAAAAATATATATATACATTCCTACCAAACATCCTGATACCAGCATAGCACTAGAAGATTACATGGACGCGAGCAAAAAGAAAAAGAAAACAAAGAAAGAAAACAAAAGAAAAATCCAGCGACCATAACACCATTATTGCCAAAAAATAAAATAATAAAAATAAATAAATGAAAATATCAGAGAAGATGCATACAAATTTGCTCCTTGTGTATGTGCTGCATCATACAATGTACATCACATATCAGACAAACAAAATTATACAGACTGAATATATAACCTATTCGGTACAGCATGGATGCACACACTGAAAGAAAAATGAAATTGTACTATCGTACAGACAGCACATTTTACAGCGTGAAAAAGTTAGCCTATATTTACAAAAAAGGATCGTAGTTCTTTTAATGAGAAACTGTTTACATGACTGTATTTATTGAGAATCATTGGTAAATTGTATTGCAATGTTTGAGATTTGTAATTATTGCGAAACCTTGGAACAAACCAAACATCACTGCTTCTTGTTTCCTAACAAAACATTTTTTGCAGTTAGACATGCGGTATTTTTAATGAATTGTTTAAACGAAATGTTTAAACGCACAAGAAACTTCGTAACTTTTGTATTATCGGCTGCTGCGAAAAAAGTACAGAAATAAATGGAATATGTCAACTCAAATTAGTGATAGGATTACTAGGCGGCCAAATTTTAAGACAGCTTTGAATATTCGGACGCTTTCATAGGACTGCCACAAGCCCTGAAGAAGCAATGCCTGACAACATCTGATGGTTTCGGCACCGAAATTCTTCGAAATCTTAATTTTTTACTCTGTTTGACCGAAAGTGCATTAACAGAAGGCACCGCTGCTCCCAAGTTGTAGAGGATTTTGAATGTTGGCTTTGCTGCTACTCTTTTGATCGGTGGTGAACTTAACCTCAAATACAAAGGGACGCTGAGCCAAAGGAGGGTCGCGGTGGGGGTTCAGTAGTTTGAGTTTCTCAATTTTTTCTTTGCTTTTTTAAGTATTTCATCTCCCAATACTTTCCAGCATGGACACCCAACAACCAGAATTCATTAGCAGCCGATAATGTGCCACTACGGGCCTTATTGTTATTATTTGGTTGCCATAAACTGATGCACAAGGACACAAAGGAAAGAAAAAGAGACTAAGCTGGCAACTGCCACCTAGAGAGGCACAACGCCTGCTTAATCTTTCTTTACTGTTTACAAACATGCATAATTTGACGGTGCAGCAGCTTTTCATTGTTGCAACAATATTTTTTTTTTTCAAACCAGTACCATTAAAAGTGGGTTCAACTGTATATCGCACTTGTGGCCGGAACTGACACCAAGAGGAAATGCGAGCCGTGGCTTCCCGTGTCGGTGCTGAGGGCAGTCTCTATTTTCTTCTCTTTAGCTCACCCGCTCTTCCGTTTCGTTCGCCGCCCGAGGGACAGTGCTGCGCTGTCTTCGGACAACGCGAGCTCACGAGTCCGAGGGTTCCACATCAGCTCGTGCAGAAGGCGCTTAGAACCCATCCTTATCCGTGTATTCCTGATGGCATTCTTCCCATCATGCTAAAGGTTTATGGAAGTGCATTAACACATTACTGACTAGAATATTTGATAACTGTCTGAACACTTTCACATTTCTGAGGATGTAGAATACTGCGTGTGTTAATCCAGTATTTAAGTCGGGTTTCTAAAGTGATGTTTCTAGTCATCGCTCGATTTCTCTACTCTGAGCCAGCTTGAAGATCTTCGAGCTCATAGTTCACGCCATATTTTACTGTTAGCGTGAAAATATTGTACGTTAGCACCAAACTTTGATTGATTCCTAATCAATGCTGGTATCTTTCTGGCCGCTCAACTACCGCAAATCCTGCTAGTTTCATAACGCAAATCTGCTCACCCATTTCTCAAAGAGGTCACATTGACGTAGCCTACTGTTAATTAGGCACTATTGTGACATAGTAAGCCATTCACTGATTCTCGTTAAATGAGCACAGTTTGATACTGACGCAACGCATCTATTGTGAATCTCCTGCTACCTGTTTAATAGATCATTTTATGTTGCCATAAATAGCCAAACTACTTATTTGTGCAAAGTAACTAATAGGGTTTCTCAGACTTCGGTGCTTGGCCCACTATTATTTCTTAATTTACATTAACAATGTTTCTTTTGCAATTCACTATTCCTTCTTTCTCTTGCATGCCGATAACATCAAGGAATCTATGGAAATGCATTGAGTTAACGACAGTCGTTTGCTCAATTGAATGTCAGATTGATTTGAATTTTTCAGATTTGATGTTCTTTGTCCTGAATAGTGTGGCAACAATAACTTTTTCCTGAATACCTCAAAGAACACATATATGAGTATATCTTGCGAAAAAATTCATCGTGCTTTACTTATACTGTGTCAATATGGGATTACCATATTAGATTTATGAGATCAGTGCTCGCGGCTTTCTTTTTGACAGCATGGTAAATTTCCTGCTTGCACTGAGCGTGCTGCGATTTGAGGCCTTCGTTCTCCCGGCTGTGTTCACAGAACCTCCTCAGAATTGAGTTCTCTGAAATCCTCCAACAAATTGTACACCGCAATATGTCTTTTTGAGCTTGAGTATGCATCAGCGATTCGTAATGGCACTGCTAAATTAAGCATTATTGCCACTGAGTCTGTAAAAAAAAATCATAAGCATTTACAACTATTGTTTCATAAAGTGACTCTGGACCGCGTTCTACCCGTGCTCTATTGTGATCACTGCCATCACTTCACTGCCACCGAAATCACGGTGTCCTGTCATTTTTTTACAAGCTAATTCACAGTATCATATCCTGCTCTTTACTTTTCAGTTGTACAAGTTATGAATACCACCTAAGTTAAGCAGAGAGGAGCAGACGTTTCACATATCTGCCAAAACTCTACCGTTTTCAGAATACAAAGTCTTCATAATGTTAACTTTCTTGATCCTGATGTTTTTCATAGTCTGCAATATTTGTTTTTATCTCAGCTTTGCACTGTCTTAACAGTGTTGTACAATGTGCAGATTTTCCCCTTCTCCGTCTTTTAACAAGCAATCGTCTTTTAACAAGCTATATACAAATTTTTGTATATTCTGCATTACTTTTCACTCCCATTCCATGCTTCTCGTGGTCTCTCTTATTCTTTCGTAATTTCTTTTATTGCGATAGCTATTATATTGGAAGTCTCAGCTGGTTTTTGCCACCACCACAATGACGTCAATCATTCACGTTTATATATATATATATATATATATATATATATATATATATATATATATATATATATATATATATATATGCATGTGTGTGTGTGTGTGGAGAAGGATCCTCTGCCTCCTCTTTCTGCAGAGCCAACAAGAGAAAAGGGGGGGTGGGGGGGTGGTAACAGCACGGCATTGATCATTGTGCGCATCTTGACCTTACAAGAGGCGGGAGCTTCTACAGGTTGCGCTCTCAACGCAAAAAAAAAAAAACGGTACAAAGTGTACCTGAAGCGGCTGTCCACATATAGATGCTCTCGACACATAACTGCCACCAGCGGCGACACACGACGTATAGCCCTTAGTACCAGCGTGCGCTGCCCACGAGAGGCACTTCTCATCAACGCCATCAGTATGCACAAGCCTTGGTGTGGTCATCTACTGTGGCCGCGCCTGCAGTAAACTTGGTTACTTAGCAAGCGCATGTTTATTACAATCATTATTGCTCCTAAAAATGCTAGTCTGACTTCTTAAAACTAGGCTTGTACGAATAGTGAACTTTAGGCTCGAAGCGAATTCGAAGCGAATAGTGATTTTGGTCGAATAATTTCGAATCAAATTCGAATAGTACTTATGACATATGAAGAAAAACAGGCATACTTATTATGACCTAAACTGACCTGCACAATATTTTTGAAAAATTGAAATATGGCAAATGCCACTTTCTTTTTCCTTTCAAAAGAAGTCGAAAAAACTTTTGAGTAGTAGCAGGATTTGACTTTGGCAGGATGAGAGTCATAATGCTTATAATATGTAACATTTTTAGGTTTATTATACTCGGAGCATATAAGCCATCATATCAAGCTTTTAAGCTTAACAAAATGAATTGATTTGAGGGTAATATTTCTATTTAAAGGGGCCTGTGCGGCACTTTTTTAAGGAGCCATGGAATGGATTCACTGAAGAAGCTTATTGCTTGATGAATTCACCGCCCGAAAAATTTTTAAATTCTTCCAGTACGCGCGGAGCTGCAAAATTTGTCGCACGCTGCAAGTGAATTATTTGTTCTCGTCCCAACGAAAGTGCTAGAAGCTACGCCGGATAGCTGGAAGCTACACCGGATAGGATAGCACTAGGAAAGAAAATACGTCACACGTGCTTTCTGAGCTTGTCGAGTCATTTGTCGAGACAAGAGAGCGATTTTTTGCTGACTTTAAGACTTTTTTGTGAATCGCACGTCACGTACTGCACTATAACGTTTGGTTTGCATGTTTTCGGTAGCCTCGACTACCGATCGGCAGCGTTTTCTTTTAATGCTCAAAAATGTTTCAGGGCCTCTTTAAATTTGAAAAGGGCATCACGGCAACGCGAATTTCTCTTAAATAGGTGCTTTCACGTTTTAGCACCCCTACACACCGCAGTGAAACCACCTTTACTGGTGGTGCATTCGAAATTGTATGCTTTTATTCGTTCCTTGCGAATACTTCGAAATTTTCAATAATTTGAATTCGAATCGAAGCGAATTTGATTACCCTACTATTCGTTCGAATAAGTGAAGCATTCAAATATTCGCACAAGCCTACTTAAAAGATTCAAATATGTTGCTATTTTCCGTGACTTTTCTGAAGACAGAGCATTGCTTATTTTTGTGTTTTATTTTTGCTTACGACTGTACAAGGACCACACGATTGTTCCTGGGCACAATAATTAAATTAATATTCGATTGATTGATTGAATCTGGCTTTCTTGCCATTAGGTGACACCGCAATTCTGGCCGAATCTGAATGCCTTTATGAAATACGGAGAGGTTCGAGTGGAGCAGACAGACACGGAAGACGTCCAAGGTTTCATCGTGCGAACATTTACCATAACCCACAATTCGGTAAGGTTTGCCATAGAGTGTGTGCATGTCTGTCTGCCTGTCTCCCTGTGCATCTGCATGTGCATTGTGTGCTTACGTGAGTGTGTGCTTAAGTGCAACCGCCTTTTATGTTACCACAAGAGGTATTTTTCATTCCATTTAATACAATTGTTAGTGTTGCATTTCCAGTTTCATTTTATCGATAACAATGCTAGTGAAAGTTTCCCTGGCAAGCATTTTTAACTTTTGTCGATTGGTTTTCGTAATTGTTATGTGGTTGCTCTCAGCCACATGCACGGGCTAGTAATGAATGAAGAGGATGGGACAGGTGCTGTCATCTCTTCATGTTTTCTTACTCACACGTGCGTTTCGCTCTGTGCAACTGCATTACATGCCATAACAAAGAGCTCAAATTGAAGCTTTGCTAAACGTGATTTGTTTTCTGTCATCAATTATTTGATAACACCCTCTCCCCTTTGTTACGTAATGCTCCCCATAAGGCCTGTAGAGTACATTTAAATAAACATGAGGCACAGACCCCCTTTGGCGGCCTAGCCAGGAGAGAGAGAGAGAGAAAGATGCAAGGCTGGGTTGTCAACCAGGACGCACGTTTGTCTTAGTACCCTGCACTGGGAGAAGGGAAAACAGAGAGAAGAGAGGGAAGAGAGATATACATAATCACGAGTGCACTTGGTGGAGAACGCGCAGTGAACAGGCAGCCGCTCAGATTTGTTATCTTCGGGCACAGCAGTAACGCTTTAGTCACTTTCTGCCCTGTCGAAGCACACGCTCAAGTCCTAGAATCTTCTGCACAGAAAATGGTCTGGAATCCCTGCTGTTGTAAAACCATCTGAAGCTGGCATTGCTAGGTGTCGTAGCTAGCACAGCTGCACAGGCAGTGTCCAGTGGTCCTTACAACTCTGCATGTAGATGTGTCTGCCATATCTACACGAGACTAGTACGCCCTTGGCAATGCAACACCCAACCAAAGGTGTTATAACAGTGTTGCGATGGTAGCTGTAGCTTGAGCGAAGGATCCAGTTCATATACGTGTCACTTTTGGAAGCTGGTAGTTGACCAAACGTGTGTGTATGATCTCGAGCAAGCAAATATTCTGTTGCCACACCAGTTCTTGATACAGGATTCGGAATCACACTGGTTCCTTCGTGGCCTGAGCGGGCTGCATCGTTGTCTAATTGATTTCTAGTAACACCGATATATGCTCATAATGCACTCAACCACTTTACATAGCCTTTATAGATTGCAATAAGGAATTTGATTCAGTGGAGATATCAGCAGTCATGCACACACTGCGGAATCAAATTATCTGCGAGACATGTGTACACATCCTGGAAGAAATCTACGGACGAATCAAATGCCACCATTGTGCTCCATAAAGAATGCGACAGATACCAAGAAAGAAAGGTGTAAGACAAGAGCATATGATCTCCCCAATGCTGCTTAACACGCACTTACAGAAGGTTTTCAGATGCCTAGAATGGTAAGAGTTAGGAATAAAAGTTAATGGAGAGTACCTTAGTAACCTGCACTTCACCGAGGACATGGCATTGCTCACTAACTCAGGGGACCACTTGCAATTCATGATGGCGGAATCAGACAAGAAGAGTCAAAAGGTAAGTCTTTAATTGCAGTGCGGAAAATGAAAGTAATGTACAACAACCTCAGAAGAGAGCGGCGCTTTGAGATAGGTAGCAGTGCACTTGAAGTTGTAAAAGAGTACGTCTACTTAGAGCAGGTAGTAACCGCGGATACGAACCACCGCAGTGAGCGGTAGAAAGAAAAATGATAGGTATAACCTTAAAAGACAAGAAGAGAGCAAAGTGGGTCAGGGAACAAACCGAAGCTAGGGATATTGTACTTGAAATCAAGAAGTGGAAATGGACATGGACTGGGCACGTAGCGCGTAGGCAATACAACCGCTGGTCATTAAGGGTAACCAACTGGATTCCCAGAGAAGGCAAGCGGATGAGGGGCAGACAGAAAGTTAGGTGGGCAGATGAGATTAGGAAGTTTGTGGGCACAAAGTGACAGCAGTGAGCACAGGACCGAGTTGACTGGCGGAAAATGGGAGAGGCATTTGTCCTGCAGTGAGCGTAGTCAGGCTGATGATGATCATATTGATGATGGATATCGATATTATGGATAGTCCCTATCATGTCCTCTTACTAGAGCTTGATAGTGTCAATGTCTTATTTCATGCACCAATCGCTCGTGAGTCCTCTTATATACGCAAGAAAAGCTGCTAGCTCTGAAGCGCTGCCTTGTAATCGCAGAATATGACGTATACTTGCCTGGATGCTCTTGAATGAGATAGTGTAAAGCGGCTCTTATTGTAGCAAGCTCTTATGCAGTAGACGTAGTTATATGCGACAATTGAGATTTCATTGTTATTGCTGTAGCCCGAACTACAGCGGTACTTGATGAGCTGCTGGACGAGATCAACCCATCAGCTGTATATCTCTATTCGGTCCACGTGTTGCTAGCTTCAATGCTACTCTGAAGTGGTTGGTTTTCTTTCTGATACCCAGAATTTCTAGGCATACTTGTGGCTGGTCCAGGCACCACAAGGGACATGCCATTCTCGTAGCTGGCGTATATTGTGAATGAATGCTGTTTAGGTGCTTGGCTATGACGTCTAAAAACCTAACAGGTGGTACTTTGGAGGCTAGATGGGCCAAGTGGTGGTCTGAGACAAGGGGGTATGTTGAATATGCGCTCAGCCAATCAACAACGGTGTTCATCTTGACCGGATGATCATTCGCATTCGCAAGCATGATTATAGCATAAATAAAACCGCGTTGAGAAGTCCTAGACAAATGCACAGCGCCTGACCTTGTGAGCTTTCCAGTGAACGAATACTGAAGTTGCTAGAATTCGACAATAACGACAAGCTATAGCACAATAGCCACTGAAATGGGCTCCTGTACGACTGTATGGAGGCCACAGAGGTTTCTCATGAATTGCCCGCACATGAAGTTCAATATATGCACAATAAATAGCAATCTATTCTTCAAGGACCTGCAGTATGGCTCCACGAAAGACGACTGCTGAATAATGCCCATAAACTGTGCGTCCATGTATATTTGACACTCTGTCTAATGATGTGGATAGAATAAGGCCCCATTGGTTTTCGTGTGAACGCAACCAACGCGCACTTCTCGGTTAATATAGTCAATCCTTGTTTTAGAAAGCTGGTTGTTGTGAGGGTTGCTGCCCCCTGTAATCGCACATGGATCTTAGGGCAAGTAATTGCAACACTCCAGGCAGTCATCCGCACATACAGATAGGCAGACCGACTTTAGTAAAACATCAGCTAGACCAATGAGGACAACATTGAACAATGTGCGGGTTAATACACCTCCATGAGGGGCACCGCAGTAGGTGCAATGCTCAGTTGCTTTGCCCTCATCTTTTAGCACCAAAACGCACCTGTTTTTATATAGTCTTTTCTCCCTTGAAACATTCGTCCACCAGTGACCATTGCTTCGAGAGAACTGAGGATGCATCGTTAGTAACATTATTATTGCACCCTGCCGTCAAGAAAAAGTACAACTCATATACGCTTGCAACTTTTTTCATGCTCTACAAACGTCGATAGGGTCAAGGGCACACTCAATAGAAAACTGCCAGGCAGGCAGGGTAGACGGTGTAGTGTTCCAAAGACCTCATGATAAAAGGAAACCTAGGGTAATATCTCGAAATAACAATGATAGGAAAGAGCAGTTCTGCTAGAGTTTTCATTCTAAATCTTGTCTACCTTGGGTGTAATAAAGTACGCCTAGATATGTACTGACTTTTCCTAACCATGATATTGTGGGCGAGTGATGCCAATGTCACAGTGAAAGTCAAAAAAGTTTGCCAAATCGCACTTACCTTGGATATCGACGTTATGCGAAGCATGCGGAGGAAAGGTGACCGTCTCATAAATTTTTTATTGAGCGACACTTTATGAAATGACACTTGATATGTGTAAAATGTTGCACGGGCAGACATATGTAGAACAGCCGCAGCTGTTGATACAACCAAGTTGTTTGCACTTGCGCAACGATGCCAACAGAAACATGAGTAATAAACACCAGAAGTGATAAGCTGACATATGAAGCGTTCGTGCTCGCGAGGATAGTACCTAGCACTTGACAGTGCTGCATAACTTTAGTATACAAATAATGTTAACCAGAAGTGATGGCTGTATCACAAGATTACGTAGGTAATGTTCATAAAATTGAGCAACCAACCCTGCAACTACAATGAATGTTTTACGAACTTTAAGTTCTACCTGAAAAGTAGTTCCAAGCCTGACACGGCTCTGTGGGGGAATACTTGATTGCCACGCACAATTATGGTGTTTGGTTTCTGCTAGGACACTCATATTTATTTTTTGATTTCGTCGGGTGAACGCAGTCCCTGTCCACTTTTATTTAACGCAGACGCTTTAATATTACTCATGTGCGTTCTCGCCATTTCATGGTGGATCCTAAGTGTCAATAAGCTGAGGCACATACCGCATCATTCTGGCACATGCCCCCCCCCCCCCCCCCTCAAGGGTATGTGCCACTGTCTGGCGGAAAATGTTTAAAGAGGTACGCGACGTAATTTTGACAATATTCATGTCTTGACCAGCGCATCATATTCGTCAGATCACCTTACTCTCCCTCCCGTACTGATTTTCGTTCTTGCTAAGTTAGGGGGTGATCACGAAAGCACCCAGACTAAGGGGCTAAATAGATAGATCGACGCCAAAGGTGCTTGTAGTTCTTTTGGTCATATGCTTTGCATTTTAAATGCCAGCCTACATTGTCCAGCTGGACTTTCCTTGTGCTGCGATCAATGGTCGCAAGTATAGCATACGAACTGACTAGTCATTATTATTATTATTATTATTATTATTATTATTATTATTATTATTATTATTATTATTATTATTATTATTATTGGAATCTACCAGTGCTTATAGATAATGAGAAAATACCCCATGCAGGTCTATTTCACGAGATTGTTTGTTCACAGGAACCTGGGCGGACAGTGAAGCAATTCCATAAAGAGGCATGGAACAGCGACGCCACTACACCGAGTTCCTGTGATGCGCTGCTGGAGATGATGCAGCGAGCTGAAAATTGGCAATTAACGGCACCAGGAAGAACGGTTGTGGTGCAGTGCATGTGAGTACAGGAACTGCAGAGTACTTACAGCGAATGTAATTAGCGATGAATGCATGACTAAAATGTCGCAATTAATTTGCTTGCCTTGGGGAACTTCTTTTCACTTGTGAATAAGGCTCCCGAACAAGGGCCGATACACCATAATTTTATTTGCTTTTAATCCTGCTCAGAGTGTTCTTCTAATTGTCTTTATGTCTGTTCGTGACTATACGGGTTTCCGTCCAACTATCGATTTCTTGGTGAACCTATGGAACTACAGCTGAATATTCAACGTACCCTTTTGTACTGTACTGTACATGTGGGTTTTGTACTGTACATGGGGGGGGGGGGGGAAATACTTTACTACAGCTTCTTTTGGTCAATTAGGTTGCTTTACTATTCTTCGTTGAAAGAACCTGCAGTGCCTATCTAAACTTAAATGGTCTTATGTAAGTCAAAAGGGGGAAGCTGCAGCGGTGCTTTTTTTTCTTAGTTAATGCCTTTTTCCGCTTGTCATGCTTGAGCACTTGTTAGATCAGTAGCCCGCTGATAATAACTTCGATGTGAACCTACCTTCAGCGGTGAACAAGATTGTCATATATAAAGCATGACGCACAGCTATGAAACACCAGCCCAAGCTTTGCGCGGCATTCGTTTCGGTTACACAGTCTCAGCAAGCAGGAACACTAGCGAGCTCATTCGTGGTTGTCGAAACACGGGCACACAGCACAAGGCAAGTACAGCAGAAGGCCACCTCTGTGGGACCCCTTTAGCCCTTTGAACTTATCGCAGATGCCCCTTCTACACCCAGGGAAATAGTCGTTCCCAGCAGATGTGAGCACGTGGGTAGTAGGGTAAATAGCTATCACCTCCCTATCAGTTTAGCGAGGCACCAAGGCAGACCTGTTCCTTTAGGCAGACGGGCCTGTCTCTTTATGGCTGCAGTTCTTGACAATAACCGCGGCCGAGGGGTCCTGATAATTCAATGCGATGTCCTACTGAAGTACAAGAAGACATCTACCGTCAAGGAAGAAGAATTAAAAACAAATTATAACGGCCGTATTTTTGTATTTCAGTAATCATGTACATATTAACCCTACAAAAAGATTCATTAAATTGCAATAACCATTTACTTCCCTTGTTAAGGTAGAAACAGGGGACACCAAAGACAGACCGTCAAACGAAGAACGTCATCACTTGTCATGTTTCGATTCCATTGTCAAGTTATTTTTTTACGAACTCGACCGAAAAAGCAGAGACCACCTCAGCTTTCAATGAGACTTCACTCCCACCTCCCTTCCCAAAACAAAAATAAACATAAAACCCTGCGTATTCCTATGCCATTTCTTGTTTAGAAAAAGTTCATTCTATCATGGGACGCAGCGAACCTAAGGAATGAGCATCTGTACAACAAGCACAATAACAAACAAATGACAAAGCACAATATACATAACACATTTAAACAAAAGTGTCCAAGTCCGTAGGGTGTCCATAGTCCATGGTACTAATAACTACATACACTACATATATGTAACGTAAGAAGGTAGCGATGGTTAGGAGTTAGTAGTAGAGGCAGAGAAGGAAGAAGATCAGAATGCAATAAACATTGGGTATGCGCCAGGCCACGTCGCCCATTCTTCATAGCGTGACACGAGTCGACAGGATGAAGACCTGGCCATCACTCATCAACCTCACATCATTCACGAAGCCACCTACAGTACGCCTCAACTGAATATCGACCACAGAAAAGGTGATCTCAAGCGCATTCAGTTACCGGCACCATGACAGAACCATCGACTGACCTCGACATCCCCAAGTACACCGGATCAGCGGACGACAGACCCGTACAGGACTGGTTCAACCTATTCGAGCTCCACGCCGCCGCTGCATCCTGGTCGGAACGGGAGATGATCATCAACTTCACTGACTACATCTCCGGTGAGTCATTTAAGTTTTACCTCACCCACATCTTTGAAAATGACGAATCATGGCAAAAAATCAAAGAGGAGATGATTACCCGTTTTAATGACTATGACCATAGACTTACTCATTGCCAACCATCTAGAGACAACTGCACACTATCGTCAATTTCCTAAGCAGTCCTCAAGCATTCGAAAGTCCAGCGCGAATGGGCAAGTGCCTCAAGACGAAGTGGCACATGCGTTTACTTACAGAAGGCCATGCGTATATTAGGAAAAACCTAACCGTCAAGCGCGCATCCCTTCTGCGCGAAAGTCAGCATTTCCGAAGTCATCCCTTCAACATACGACACGAGACGTCGCTCACCCTACTGATGCATTTTAAGTTTCGTCTCGCATACATGGTCCACCACCTGGTTTTCTACGACGCAGCTCTTCAAAGGCTCCTAATGGTCGCTATTCGTGTCATAAGGACGCCTTGTTCATGGTAGACCAGCTGACACATGAGGAAAACGCCGAACCACGCCATGACGACTCAAAGAGTGAAAATCAGTCTCCACACATTGGATCAGCTTATTTTCCATCTAGCACAATTGGGCTACCTCCTGGTTTTCTGTCACTTGGCTCTTTCGTCACTCACAACGCCCACCTCACATCTAGCACGCTCACAATGGTCGGGATAGAGCGGCGGAGCTCGAAGAATACTCAGCCAAGCCCTGGACCTACCATCCAGATTCAGGTGCAGGAACCACTCGCAGCGAACAGCGAAGAAGAAGCCCCTGATGATGTATCTATCAACTCTGAAGCACTACCTTCATTACCCGAAATGCAGCACAATAGCCTAGAGACTACTACCTGCCCACTCTACACCACATTCAATTGCCCAGAAAGTCAGTGTCATGGTGAAAAAGGGCTGCCACCTCAGGTCTTTTCGCAGCCACATCATCAATGCCAGCAAGTCCAAGAACAACAGAGATTCCAAGGGCTGCCACCTCAGGTCTTTTCGCAGCAACATCATCAATGCCAGCAAGTCCAAGAACAACAAAAATTCCAAGGGCTATACGAACAAGGACGACGACGAATGCAATCATCTTCGGAAGAACACACGTGGTTTATGGAAAGCCGTTTACAAACGTGTCAACCAAACCAACGACATATTCAAGATTTCTCGCTCGAAACAAAGGAAGCATCGAATCCAGGATATTTTCCCAAGGGACGTCGAGTAAGCTTTCTCCATTCGAGATCAAGACTCAGGCAACACTTACATACAACGTCGAGAAAGGACGCCAAACCATACCCTGTATTCCGCAAGGACGCAGAAATCACCGCACCAGCCTCGGTCAACAAGCACGCAAACGGGTGGTGACGCATGGGTTCCAATCAAGACAAATAGCACGACACCTGCGCAAATCATCCAGCCAATGCTTCAAGGCCATCACACCACGTTCATTCATCGCAAGAATACCGGCTGTGTTTCCATCTGATTTCCCGCTCAAAGCATGCTTATGTTGTCCAGAGCGCAACAGCCAGCCTCGCCCTTTAGAGCTGTACTTGATACCCCCGGATTGCTGTCCTTTCCTGTGAAGCTATAGTGGGTTAACGGAAACTTCCTTGGACTTGGAATGATCTTCTCTTGTTGACAGTGTTCAGTTCTAAGCCGTGCATGTTTAGTTTTTATTTATGTTCGTCTGATGCGACTTCTTTCGGGGGGGGGGGGGGAATCCTGTAACGTAAGGAGGTAGCGATGGTTAGGAGTTAGTAGTAGAGGCAGAGAAGGAAGAAGATCAGAATGCAATAAACATGAGGTATGCGCCAGGCCACGCCGCCCATTCTTCATAGCGTCACATATATACAGCTAATGACAATATGGACAATGTACATGATGATATATGTATAGAATTTACAAGACAGTGAAGATGTTAGAAAATATGTACAAGTATCAATATTCATAAAATTTACATAACTTACAGCATTAGAATGAAGTGCATATATACAAGAACTCACACCCATATGGGACGTACACAAACACATAGAAATAGTAAGCACATACTGATTGCATGCACTAATCAGACATTGAAAGGTGACCTGGCTATAAGAACCAGGCCAGGAAAGACTAATCGAACGCGTCTGTCAACTACAGACAGAAAGCAGCACGACCATTGTTGCAGAAATTCTTCCTCCCCAAGGAAGAACAATTCCTCCGACAGAAGCGATAAGAGTTCAGGTAGAGGCGTTCCAGAATTGGAAAGAGAGCACGACGATGATGAGCTGCCGCAACAGCTTCGAACCTATTACGCCACAAACAAAAAGCTCCCGCAGCTATTAGAAGGCGTGCAAAGCGACTACGCGAGCAGCGACTAGATGTTGCAAAGCGATCAACACCTAGGCCACTGAAAACTAGTGTTAACTGACTTCCTAAAACACCTTTGCAATGACACATTGCTGCAGTATATGCTGGTTAGACTCCTGTAACGGGCAGTTAGGACAAGTATAAGATGGGACCATGCCCCACTTCTCCAGTCTGTCCCGTGTTGGGAGTACTCTCCATCCAAGATGCCACATAAGGTCACGGAGGTGACTAGGCAAAAACGATGCCGTTATCGCGCTCCACGAGACATGTCTCGATTGTGCTAGATGGGCTGGAGGAACTAGGGGAAGCAGAAGAGCCGCCGTTGTATCTACAATGCGGCTTTCGAGAATGTCCACATCGGGACAAACCTGCTGCGCGTGTCGATAAAATGAAACGGCCGATGAGTAAAATGCAGGCACGTTAAGTGTTTGCGGTGCACAATAAAGCCGTGCATCTGGTAGTAAATAGCGTGTCTTGGTGCCTAAGAAATAGCAGGCAAGATCACGCGCGGGGAACTGATCACCATGCAACAACCGAAGTAAGAATCGTAGAGGAAGCAGCCGACAGCGAACAGAGATGGATGGGAATGTGAATTCACCACAGTTTCTCGGTTTCCCAAGAGCTGCTCGGCAAACCAGCTCTGTTCCACCCGACCAGAAAAGTGAGCCAATGAGGGATTGCAACGACCTAGTGATTCATAAGGGGGCTGTAAGACATGAGATATGTACCATGCACGGCCTCAAAAC